TAAGAACATTTTTAAGAGTTTTTGTTTTCTTAAAAGCACTAGTAGAGGATTTAATACAGTATCTTTCTGGTGTGCAGTTGGTCTACAGCATTAATCACTTGCTCTATTCAGTACAATAACTCTCAACACCAGAGGGCAGCCACCTCAGTACTAATTAGCAGTTAATGTTGACAGCTTAATATTAACTACGTAACAAACTCCTTAAGAAAAATTTCTCTAACAAAAGTTGTGACTAGACTTAGAAAATCGGTATGAAAAATAAAGAAGCACTTTCCCCACAAGGAAGGATAAAGCTAAATTAACTGAAGATCCTGAACACTGTTGTGTAGTAATCGAATAATCACTATTGTGATACCAAAAAATATAGATACTGTATATACTAAATAAAGATAAAGTTTTATTAGTTACTCCCCCCAAGTAGATTTGTTAAAAATAAAGGCAGATTGAGAATAGGGAAAATAATCCTCTAGCCCAGAGGTTCTTAATCTCTTTTACATCATGGTCCTTTTGTGCTGTGGCAGACTGGTAAAGCCTGTTGACCTCTTGTCAAAATCATGTTTTTCAATGCATAAAATACAATTATTAAGATTACTAAGGAAATGTATTATACTGAAATACGTAGTTCTCCATTATTAAAATTTTCACCAGGCAATTCTCGGTCTCTACTCTCCAGCTATGTCTATCTATATTTAAAAAGAAGTTCACAGACCCCACGTGAAGATCCATACTCTAGATCAAAGAGATAGTAAGACAAATGCAAGAGAAGTGAGGGAAGTAATCAGGGTGGGTTTGGGGGAAAATCAATTGGGAAAGAAAGCTTATGGAAAGGAAACAAGGGGTCAAAAATATCCAAAATAGAAAAGACACAAGGATACTGGTACTTTTACCTTGCAATGGAAGAGGAAGGCAAGGGAACTACCAAAACTATATCGTTGCAAATCTATACAGTTTCATCTCTGTATAAAATCAGCTCAAGTTTACATAGCATTTTAAAGTTTATAAGCCATTTGCCTCACAACATTGTGATGTAAGTGGCACAAGTGTAACCCTTACTTTACACATGAGCAAAATAATACTTACAGAAGTTAAGTGACTTGCTCAAAATCACAAAAGCTAATGCCATAGACTGTCTTGAGCCTAAATCTTCTGACACTAAGTGCTAGTTCATGACACCATGATCCCTCTCAAAGACAAGATTTTCAAATAAAAGGTCAGTCAGTAAACATTTGTTAAGTGCCTATTTTATTATTTATGATTATTATTATTTGCCAGGCACTGTGCTAAGCCCTGGAGATACAAAAAGTGACTTATAAACTATAAAAGAATGAAGAAACGGAAGGAACAAAATTTTTATTTATTTTTATTTTTTTTAGGCTTTTTTTTGGTGAGGCAATTGGGGTTAAGTGACTTGCCCAGGGTCACACTGCTAGTAAGTGTCAAGTGTCTGAAGCCACATTTGAACTCTGGTCCTCTCAACTCTAAGACTGGAGCTCTATCTACTGCACCAACCACCTGCCCCAAGAATTTTTAAAAGATAGAATTCCATTTTTCTTCTGTAAAAAGAAAATATCAATTCATAAAAGGTTCATAAAATGTTTATGTACTTTGTTTTTTAGAAAAAAGAAAATTATTTTTAAAAATTGTTGCCAAGGATACTGAGACAATTACCGCCTTGAACTGAATATTCTTTCAGCTCAGTCCTTATAGTTTACTGCCTAAGTGCCAAGCCCAGGTAACTAAAAAAGTCTGACCAATTTAGGAGAACAATTTGAGATAACGCTTGGCTTGGCCTAGAATCCAAAAAAATGAGATTCCATTTCCAGTTCTTCCACTTAATAGTTATATGACCATGGTTAAATCTGTTGTTTTTTAAAATCTTTCTAAGCTTTTCACTGGGGCAGCTAGTGGCACAGTGGATAGAGTGCTGGACCTGGAGTCAGGAAGAATCATCTTCCTGAGCTCAAATCCAGCCTCAGACATTTACTGGCTGTGTGACCCTGGGCAAGTCACTTACTCCTATTTGTCTCAGTTGTTCATCTTTAAAATGAGCTGGAGAAGGAAATGACAAACCTCTCCAGTATCTCTGTCAAGAAAACCTCAAATGAGGTCAAGAAGAGTCAGACATGATTGAAATGGCTCAACAACAACAAAGCTTTAATTTCTTCTATAACTAGATGGTCTCTAAAGGCTCTTTCAAGGTAAAAAAAAAAAAACAAAAACCTCCTAAAGACCAGTTATTGGCGAACTTTTTACATGTACACCACTTGTCTCCACAATTAAATATTAAATTTCTAGAAGACAGATGCTTATAAATCTTTGTATTTCTTACACTGCCAAGCATAGTGCCTTGCATACAGTATGTGCTCAATATGTACTTAATTACACATTTCACACTCAGTTGTTTAAAAGAGTGATATAGTAGGTCCCCATAGCAAAGAAATACCATTTTCAATAAAGTTTCTATTTAGCCTTCTATTGAGGAGGCTAATTGTTTGGTAAAGCCTTCTTCCTTAACTATTTTCATGAATAAATTAATCTGTTTGAATTCCATACTCCAAAGCTACAAACTCACTTTCCCTAAGGTTACAACTCTAACCAAGCATTAGTCTTTGCTTAGAATTAAGTAATTGGCCAAGAAGATATGCAAAAAAAGAAACAAGTCAAGAACTGGTCATCATTTTTTCTTACATCAATATTTTAATAGTTTGCATTGCATCATCTGAGATCTGTTACATGATCTTTTCCTCTCATTTAGATTGTAAGTGCTTTAAGGAGAGTCATTTTCATTTCATTTGTAGCCTGTCATAATACTTTGCACAATAAGCATTTAATAAATGCTGGTGAAAATGACATTTATGTCACTTAAGCCTTCCTGAGACAATAATAATAATAATAATAATAACTGCTAACCTTCATAAAGCAATTTTAAGGTTTGCAAAGCACTTAACATATTATCATCTCATTTTATCCTCCCAGCAATCCTGTGATGTAGTTGCTATTATTATCCTAATTTTACAGATGGGGAAGCTGAAGATTAGACAGGTTAAGTAACCTGTACAAAGGTGATAAATGTTTGAGGCAAGATATGTGCCTGGCATACAGTGGGTGCTTAATAAAACCTTGTTGACTTGGAGATTTCCTGACTTGCAGTCTGGTACTCTATCCACCACACTCCACCTAGCTGCCTTGAAATAAGCAAGTCTTTCTACACAATTACTTCATCCTACAAATTTTACACACCTAACTTCACCAAAAATGATCCATAAGCCTGATCACATTAGGCAACGATTAAGAACGAACCAGATTTGCTAGCTCTGATTCAGGACAACTGAAGATGCTTAGAAGACAGGAATAAAACTTCCCAGAAGCATTTGACCTTGTAAAAGTACACAAAGCAGATACACTTTCCCCGTTTTATTAATTTACTGAAGCACTAGGTGCTAGGTGTTAACAATTCCAAGTTATTTGGACTAATCCTTTTTTAAAATCTTTTCAGTCATCTAACAAAAGTGATTCCTAGAATATTAATTTTTATCTTGGTCCTAGTTCACTGTCCACTGATTTTGTACATTCTGCTTTAGGGCTATCATCAGCCTCTTCCAAGCTCAATTCAATTACAGAAACACTGACCACATGTGAAATACCTGCAAATCAACATGATGGCTTTCTCACATACTGGATCCCATATATTTCTTTGTAATCTGATTCTGGTCCCTTCAAAACAAGGGAGGGATATTTAGAATAAGAAGAGTCACCACCACCACCCCAACCAGGAACGGTAATATTCTTGGATTAATGTGAATATACTGATAAATATCTGCTAGCCAGGGAGAGAGGAAAAAGAATGAGGAAAACTCACACTACTGACAGAGCTGGACCTGAGGCTGAGGAGTAGAGATTAAGAATTACCTGGTGATGAAACACGGTAACACAAGATAAAAGAACTAAACTGGAATAATTGTCCAAAAATGAAAGAATTGTTCAAAAATGTGCCTCTTCGCCAAAGGACCTTCCCTGCCCCCACCCCAACTTAAACACACACAAAAACATTTTCATTGTTACAGGGGAAAATAAAGTGGAAGAAAGGAGAAGTAGAAAAGGCATCATAGAGTGAAGACCACCGTTTAGAATGAATGTTTTGGTAAGGGACGACAGACACAGGATTTTTTTTTTAATCCACTGCACTGCGAAGCGAGAGATTGCAGATGTCCCACGCAGAGGGGCAAAAGGCGTGTCCTCGACTCTCTGCAGGCCACTGTGCCCTCCACCCTACCCCAACGCGAACAACTACGAGGGTGGGGTGGGGTCTTATTCAAGGAGAAATGAGCCCGAGGAGAATGACAAGAGGAAGAAGGGGGTATTAAAATGGAATAGGAGGATTTTTGAGACTCGGAAGGGGAACAAGAGAAAGAGGGTTACTTGGCAGTCGAGAGGAAGGATGCAATAGGGGTCCTTGGGAATTAGGAGGGGGCATTGAGGGGTCCTTAGGAGACCGTAGGAGGGAGTTAATGGAGAATATCTGGGAGTCGGGAGCGAGACGAGGGGTACTTGTGAACTGGCAAGTGGGGTGCAATAGGAAACACATCGGGGATTGGAAGGGGAGGAATAGGACATACCTCAGAGTGAGGAGGGAGGGGCAATAGAGGTTCTCGGGAGTCAGGAGCGGGGAATGCGGGTACTTGGAAGTCGGGAAGGGGCAATAGGAGATTCGTGGGAATC